GCGAGCGAGCAAGTCAGTCTGTGTCTCCGCTACCTAGTCAGCAAGTGTCCCTATGCAGTGTGCTAGACGTTAGTGCTCAGTGAAAGCTGTGAACAGTGACATTGGTCTCCCGAGGGTCGACCAGGCAAACATGTACAAGGATATTGCACCACAAACCAAAGGTGGGTCTTCAGATTGAAATTTTCCAAGGGGCGGCTGTTCCAGAATACATGTGTATTTGCTGGACGCCGTTTTGGTAAGCAGTATGCATGCAATTTCAGTGGAATACTTTGGTGCTTTGGTGAATGTAACAAGAAAATTCGATAAGTGAAGATGCAAAAGTGTAGGAGACAGCCAGAGATGGAGGACGAGGCACGGAAAGCCAGCTTACGAGAAGGAGGAAGATTGCAAAGCAAAGATTATTCTCACGCGAAACAAGTCTGTGGATGTGGCATTTCTCTCAACTTTATTGTTCGTACATTGCCTCTCGTTTCGCCGAGGAGACTCGGAGTTTCTCTCTCTCTCTTTCCTTCTCTCCTTCTCTTTATCTCCGTATATATATATATATATATATATATATATATATATATATATATATATATATATATATATATATATATATATATATGTATATATATATATATATATATATATATATATATATATATATATATATATATATATGTATCTCTCTCTCTCTCTCTCTCTCTCTCTCTCTCTCTCTCTCTCTCTCTCTCTCTCTCTGCATCCCAGTCTTCTTCTCTTTCACTCTCCTTCTCCTTCCTTTTCTCTCCTCTCCTCTTTCTCACTCCTCCACCTTCTCTCCCCTTCGCTCTCTCTCTTTTACCCTCCTCGCATATACCTCGCCCTTCTCATCTCCCGATTTCTCATTTCCTTCAATCCCCCTTTGTTTTAGTAATACAGAGAGAGAGAGAGTGGATGGAATTACTCGCGTGTAGGACACAAGTGTTTTTCTACACACACAAGAGGCACGCAATTGTAAAGATATATAATTTTCGTTCTATGAAAGTAATAATCAGTTATGATAAAATGATCTCAGATGACAAAAATAATGAGGATGATGATTATAGTAATAGTTATGATAATTGTTAAAGTACTAATAAGTTATAGCCTTGAGGATAGAGGACTAGTAAGAAAGAAAGAAAAAAAAACGTACAAACGAATGCATTCACAGACTGAATTAACTTTAATGGAATCACTTCTAAATTTCTGAATTTTTTTCTTTTTTTTTATCCGAGAGGAGGCGGGGGGAGGGGGGAGCCTTTTACACCGACATGCAATTCGTGCTATTAATAAAGCAATCTAAGTACCCTCACCCGTATCGTAATTTCATTATGATTACACACATAATTAAGCAGCTATTGGAACTGATGGGTTTATGACCGGGTTCGTCGTGACACATGTGAGCGTCTGGGGGTATCAGTGCATGTCCCTGTGTCTATGAGTGTGGAGATATATATATATGTATGTGTGTGTATGTGTATTTATATATCTACATATAATGTTTGTATTTATATATATATATATATATATATATATATATATATATATATATATATATATATATATATATATATATATATATATATATATTTATTTATATATATGTGTGAGTGTATGTGTGTTAGTGTGTGTATACACACACACACACACATATATATATATGAGTATGTGTGTGTATATGTGTGTCTAGGTATGCGTGCATGCGTGTTTGTTTGTATTTGTACATATGATGTGTTAAGAAATTGTACGTTTTTATTTTATCCTGTAATTGGAGGCTGTCGTTTTTAGTTGCGTCGGTTCGGTATTTGCATAGCTGCTGGCGCCAGATTTTGTATTTATTTGCTGAGGGCGACCTTTTTTTTGCTGCTAAGTTAAGTTGGAAATGTTTGAGTTATTTCATTAGTGGTGTTATATTCTATATAGAGGAAAGGGAACTAAGAACGGGGGGAGAGAGAGAGAGGGGGGGGAAAGAGAGAGAAAGAGAGAGAGAGTCCAAGATAGACAGAGAAAGAGCGGTCGGGCACAAAAGGACGTTGAGGCGCGTTAATGATAACTGCAATATGGGCAACAACCTCCCCTCACGCGCGTAAGCACTAGCGAATGCAAGTGTGTATAACTCTACGTTCCCGTAACATACATTTTCACTACCGTTCTGTTCTTGTAACTACAGAAGAAGGTCTGTACAGTATGCTAAAATTGAACTAAACTATACTGTGTATTTAACTTTTAATATCAAGGACAAATGCTTTCTCACTTAGACAAAAGCACGAACTCAAACGTATCTGCACGCAATCACTTCAACAGAGTACACTCACGCACAGACTCACTCTTTTGCTTGGACACGTTGCATACACTTACCTCCACATGCTCAATCGTACCTTCATGCCTACATATTGTGTTCTCACTGCCATCTATCCATCCCCCAGTTACATACATACAAACATACATCTGGTCTCATACACGCATGCACACACACACACACACACACACACACACA